AGGAAGAGCAAGGTAAGCATCAAGTCTTAGAAAATGCTAAAACAAACAAACAAAACACCAATGCAGTACAGCACAGGGAATATTGTCAATGGTATTGTAATAGCTATGTACAATGTCAGAGGGGTAGTAGACTTGGTGGGGTTATCACTTTGTGAGGGTGTAAATGTCTAATCATTACTTTTTTTGTACACCTGAAACTAATAAAGTTAAATTAAATTTAAAAACAAACAAAAAACCATCCTATTCCTTCCCTCTCTTCCCCACCACCCTGGGAACATAGGTTTCCAGTTGTTATGATGGGACCCTAATTCATCTTAATCAGGAAAGGGACAGGGAATCAAGAAAAGTCAGGCTTCTCTAGTCTGTTATCCTAACATAATTTTTCTGGCCTATTATCCAAATACAACTAAATTAAGTTTGCTCTCAGGCTTACTACATTCAGGGATTCAAGCGCCCAGTCTCAGTTCCAACGTTCCTTTCTTACCTATTTACTAACAATCAATTCCTTTAATAACCAGCAAATATGAGACCGACAGCAGGATAGATTAATGGATGCCTAAAGGAAGACATTGATTAAATGAGGAGAATGAGAGAGTACAGAAAAGGAACACCAGAAATACCAAAGACCCAGCTGTTTTATAGTTTTGCCTAACACGTGTGTTTTGTCCACCTTCAAATGTATCCAGCTAAGTATTAACAGCAATAGCCAGAACTGCAGAAGCGCGTACCTTAGTTGGACTTACACTTATTAAGACTATGATGTAATCCAACTTGGTTTGGCATGGTTCGTACAGATGTGTGTTAATACAGTGGACTTCATTATAAAGGAGATTCTATTCCAGAATGCTGCCTAGTCTATGCATTATAATAATTACACAGTTCCCTTAACTAAGACTGGCAATAAGAGATATTAAAAACAACACAATTTTAATTGTAATGCAATCGTAAGACACTCCCTTCTACAGACACATAGCACAAGAATAGTTAATAAATATCATACCCTGTTACAACACATATTTTTTTCAATAAATGTATTTATTACACCATATAATCACATTATCCCATATGTTACCATATGGTCATAAAAAGAAAGAAAAACATCAGGGGAATATAAATGGTCAGAAGCAAATGTTTAATGTCAAAAGAATAAGCACATTCATTTGATAAATATTTAATAAGCTTCTGTCATTTACCAGAAATATTCTATTTTGAGCATCTATAAAGTAATACTTATAAATACAAGACATGAAATTTGCTCAGTTCCCAATATAATTTTAAAAACTAAAATCTATGTTCAATGTCCAAGATGTATGATAACAGAGTAAAAAAGTTAGAAACAACCTGATATTAAAAAATATTAGTTTAGGGGGGAGGGGGGTTGTTACTTTGTGAGGGTGAAAAGGGTAACTATTGCATTGTTCTGTACACCTGAAACTAACAATAAAAAAAATATATATTAGTTTAAAAAAGTCACAGTATATCTAATGATACGTAAAATGTTTTGCTATATTAAGGTAAAAATTTTTACAAGATCACATACATTGGATTATACAAGCATAAAAAAAGCATATGGATATATGTACACCAAAATGTTTATGTAACTATATCTTAAATAGCAAGATCACAGATAATTTTTTTTTACTTTTTGTACTTATATCTTTCTAATTTTTCAATAATGAATGTGCTTTCCTTCTGTAATTAAGTTTTTTTTAGTGAAGCTGAAATTTTCCTGAGAAAAATTAAAAAACAAAAACCTGTATTTAACTGTCACATAAGGTAGATCTTTAGACTAAAAAGGGTCACTTTACTCAAGCAAAATTTTCATTTCTTTCCATGCACTTGGCAATTATAAGATATCTCTTTAAATGCATTATAAGGAGAGTTCAATTAAAAGACCGCAGTACATTTCAGTTTCCACTAAATATCAACTACAAATTTAAAATTATTTCTCGGAAGAATTTATTCCACCACCCATAACAGTGATATCTACACTCAAAAGAGATCCATTTTTTTAATTAGCTTCAGGTATACAAAACCATGTAATAGACATTTACACCCCTCACAAAGTGATAAACCCCCTGCCCCAATCTACTACCCCTCTGACATCATATAATTCCATTGACTCTATTCCCTATGCTGTACTCCACATCCTGTGACTGTGTGTGTGTGCGCGCGTGTGTTTGTATCTAGATAGATATAAAATTATAGTTGACATTCATTATTATTCAGCTTCAGGTGTACACTGCAGTGGTCAGGCAAAAAGAGATCCATTTTTTATCACTTATCCCTTCCCCAGTCAAATACATTTATTATCACCTCCTATAAAAACTATAATGGAAAAACTACTATTCATCACTAAACATTAAAACCTGGGTGAAGGAGGCAGTGGGAAACACTTCTAACTAATTAAAATTAGTTAAAGTATTCTTATGGTTTCCCATTATTGGCAAGTTAAACTAAAATTCATCTAGCCTAGAGGTTCTCATTCATTGATACAAGAGAATTGCCACAGAAGTGTATCAAATACAGAAATTCATGGTCCTAGCTCTCACCTACTGAACCAGAATCTTCAGAAGGTAGAGTTCAAACAATCTGGTCCTTTTAAATAAGATAGCAGAGATTGTAAGTACTTAACAAAAACCTTCTCTATATAACTGCCAACTGCTCTAATAACTCTGAAACAAAGTTCTCAATGTAAACAATGTTACAGAAAGTTACAATTTAATAACCAATACCCATTAATTTGTCCATTCTTCTAGATACAATTTAACAAAACTACCCTTGCACTACAGAGTAAAACAAGCTTAGAGACACCTGTGCCTGGGAAGACAAAGGCATATCCGATTCATGGAAAAATTAGACAGCAGATGTGACCCCTAGTATTTACCCATTAAGAACAATGTATCCTAAAAATAAATTTCCATGTCAACCGAACAAAGCTGTTTATAAATAAGAAGGAATGTGGAGGTGTGGGGAAGACAAGAGGAAACTTCAGCAAATTAAGTACCAAAAACCAGGAAACAAGGCAGAATGAATGGCAACTGGCAACAAGAAAAAGAATAAACTTCGAAATGGAAGAAGGGAAGAGCGCTATCCTTAGAATCTAAGAAGCTGGGGGAAATGAATAGCTATTAGAGGAAACCTATCTGAGCAGAAATGCAAACTGTTAAGTGGAAAATGTTGTAATTTTGTTAAGAAAAAATATAACAAATTTAAAGTAGATCAAATGATGGTACAGAACACATCTTGGGCATAGATGGAGGTGATATAGGAGGATGAAAAATAAATACAGAGGGTGCCAAAAAGTGTATACACATTTTAAGAAAGGAAAACTATTAAAATTGTAATAATATATACCAATAACAAAAGATGAATACAAGTCACGTTTGACTTCTGCAATGACAAGAGGTGTTCAAAGTGGTTACTATCAGTTACTATCAGACACTTCTGATTATGGCAAACTACCACTTGAGCAACACTGACCAAAGTGTCCACTTGTATACATTTTTTTGGCACCCTCGGTATCGTGAACAAACTGATACTGAATAGAGCAAGCATATCGGATGAATTTCCAAAGTAAAGATGATGCAGCAGGAAGGAGACTTGCACAGACATAAGAAAGAATGAGACGTTATAAGAATTGGGAAACAAAATTAAGTAGTAGGAAGGAAGCTGAACTTTGAGCAGTCAACAGAATAAGTCATGTTATCTAATCAATAATTGTAAAGCATATTTGTTATACCACATACTATCTCATTATTTGTAAAATACAATACAGTGTATTACTTTTATAGAATAAAAAGCCAAATACTAAAGGTAATACATTTTATGTAATAAAAAACAAAATGTAAATAACCTGATAACAGCGATAAGAGCCTGAAGAAGGCAAAAACAGGCTGCGAGAAGCAAGGGCGAAAAAGGAAACGGGAAAAGAAAAAAAAACTGGGACAAAAAGGAGGACAAGAGAAAGAAAGCAATTAAACCTATAAAAAAATGGGTAGGAATACATAGAGGTGTATAAACGCACAACGGAAGACTAAGCAAAAAGTGCCAGCAGTGCAAGTGAAACCTGATGGAATCTTGACAGCTTCAGGGTTCAGAAAGTAACCAAGAGCGTCCAGAAGGATTTGTGAAGATAACAGATTCACAATGTCAGGGAGCAGTGGCATGAAGCCGGTAAGAGCAGTGCAAAAACGGTCAAGAAGCTGAGGTCAGAAGGCCCGCAGGTCTGACAACGGGCCGGCGGATGGGGATGGGATGGAGGTTACCACTCAGCAGACGGAGCGCTGACAAACATGAGGAACCGGGGACCTGAGACCGGGATGAGAGGGAGGGCGGAAACAGCGGGGTTGACGGCCAAGAAAGTAAAGGCTAACGCAAAACCAACGGCTGGGTAAAACAGGTGAAGCGAGATCCCCCAACAAGTCGAAAAGTGGCAGGGAGGGCAGCGGCCTGAAAAGGGGGGGCGGTCTGGGAGAGCAGAGGGGGGATGCTGCGCCCCATCATCCCCACGACCAAGTACTGATCGCAAGCACCGCACGGTCCCTCGGGCTGGTCCGGCCCCGGGTGACGATCCTCCATCCATCCCTCCTCCACCAGGATGCCGCAACCCCCTGCGCCGCCCCCCACCTGAAATCACGAAACCATCTCGGAGATGCGAGGCTGGCTCCCTTCGGCCAGCCGTGACCTTCCCGGGCCCACCCTGCCTCTCGCCCCCTACCGATCGCCTCCCGCTCCACCACCGCTGCCCGAACCCCCCACGCCGGGGTGCGGGCCAGGGAAAGCCCTCCGGGCCATTGTGTGTGTGTTTACGTAGCGAGGAGCTGCGTGACGGAGAGGGACGAGCGGGGGATGCCCGTCTCCGACCCGCAGAGCCCATCGGAGAAGGGGGCCGCGGGCACCGGAGCCCCCCCCGCCCCGCGCCACCTCTGTCCCCCAAAATAAACACCGGCCAGCCGAGCCCGGAGACGGGAGGGGTGCAGGGGGGCGCCGGCACTCACCTCCTCCGGGATGGCAGGGTCCGCAGCCGAGGAGGCCGCGGCGCCGGCGCCGGCCTCGGGCTCCATGTCCCCGTTGAACAGAGCCTGGCCCTGCTCCGCGCCGCCGCCGCCGCCGCCGCCGCCGCTCAGCGCCGCCATCTTATAACCGAGAGTCGGGGCCCGAGCGGCCGCGGCTGGGCGGGGAGGGGGAAGGGAGGCGGAGGG